GTTGGTGGGACTGCAGATTGGTGCAGCCATTATGAGAATCAGTATGGAGGTATCTCAAAAAACTGGAAATGGAACTCCCATATGACCCAGCAATTCCACTTTTGGTTATCTATCCAGAGAAACCCAAGACCCTAATTCGAAAAAAATATATGCACCCTTATGTTTATCGCTGTTGACAATAGTCAAGACTTGGAAACAACTGAAATGCCCATCAGTAGACGACTGGATTAAGAAACTGTGGTACATTTATACAATGGAGTATTACTCTGCTATAAAGAAGAATGAAATCGTACCATTTGCAAGATTATGGATGGACCTAGAGACTATTATGTAAAGTGAAATAAGTGGGTCGGAGAAAGACAAATACCATAGGATCTCACTTATATGTGGAATCTAAAAAACTGAATGAACGAGCAAAGTAAACAGAAATAGTCTCAAAGTAAATAGAAATAGTCTCAAAGTAAACAGAAATATAGAGGAAAAACTGATGGTTGCTAGATGGGAGTGGGGTTGGGATGAGGGAGAAGGGGAAGGGATTAGACAGCATAAATAGGTAACTACAATATTGCTACAAGGATATGAAAGACAGTTCATGGAATATAATTAATAATGTTGTAAATATTTTGTAGGGTGTCAGGTGGTCACATGTCTTGTTAGGGAGACCGCTTCATGGATGGGGTAGAAGCTTGATCATTGCACTGTACACCTGAAGCTGATGTTGTATAATATTGTATGTCAACTATAATTGAATATATATATATAGTCACGGGATGTGGAGTATAGTGTGGGAGTGAAGTCAATGGAATTGTAATAGATATGTATGATATGGGGGGGACAGGGACTGGGGCGGCAGATTGGGGCAAAGGGATTGTCACTTTGAGAGGTAAAAAGTTTAACTGTTGCACTGTGTTGTACACCTGAAACTAATTAAAAATAAATAAAATAAAATAAATATTTAATGGTTATCTGTAGATTTCATTGATCTTAGTGCTGTCCAACAGAAATTAAAATGCAGACCACTTTGAACCATTTTGGAATTTTAAAATGCCTAGTAGCGGGCCAGCCGAGTGGCTCAGTTGGTTAAGAGCTAGCTCAAGAGTTTGAGCTCTGAGCAACAGTGGTTCGATGTCCAGCCCAAGCTGAGCTGCTGCTAAGCTGCCAATAGGTAGCAGGATGGCTCAGCTAAAAAAATAAAAAAATAAAATGCCTAGTAGCCTCCTTAAAATAAATAAAAAGAAACAGGTGCAATTAATTTTAATAATAGATTTTATCTAACCCAATATGTTCAAAATATTACCATTTCAACATAAAATCAACATTAAAAATTGAGGTATTTCATATTCTTATTTTGCATTAAGTCTTCAAAATCTAGTGCCTGTTTGACATTTACAGTATGCGTCAATCAGACCAGCCACATTTCAGGGGCTTTCAGCAGCCATGCATGGCCAGTGGCTGCTGTAGTGGCCAGTGCAGCTGCAGGTTTTCCCATTCCTAGATGCTTCCTCAATATTAGCCTCTCCCCTCACGGTATAAACTGCATGAAGCCCTTTAGGACAGCATCAGCTGGAAGGTACTTTAATTCACAACCTCAATGATTTCACCCCTTCCTCTAAGAGTCACTAGAAGTATCACCTTTGAGGAACAGAAGATGGAGGAGCCAGGAGTCTGAGGGGTGCAAGCCATCCCCTTTCTTGCTCACTCTGTGGGCAGTGGACAACTAGACACTGCTGAACACACACTCTCAGGCTCCTCTGCAACCTGCTAAACCCCAGGCTGGAGTGTGTAATTTGTGCCAGCTCTGAGTTTGCCTTTATCTCACCTTGCAGAGCAAGCCGGCTTCTATAAACTGAAATGGAACTGGCTGCTGAAGCCCCTGCCCCAGGGAGAACACTGAATGAGGAAGGCACTGGGAGGCAAAGGAGGCAGAGAAGGGGACTCTATAGAAGAAAGAAGACCATGAACTTCAGGACCAGCCAGTCTGGTTCCCAGCTCTACAGCCTATGCTTGTTTACCTCCCTGAGTCTGGTCTCCTCTTCTGTGAGTGGGTGTAAAAACAGAACCAACTCTTCAGGGTTGTTTGGGATAATATGATAAATGCTGAGGGCCTGGCATTAAGGAAAGTGACCTTTCATAGCTTGCTGTATCTGAGGAAGCTGTGTAGCCCTCTGCAGTCTCTTATCTGCCAAGCCACCCATCTCACTTGATAACCTTTCTACTCCCTGGGCAGACACTATCAACCCCCAACTCAAACCTTCTCAGCCTACTGCTAGGTCGTCTCAGGTAGTTCCTGTAAGGCTAATTCCTGCATCTCCTGCCTGAGGATGTTCCCCAGGAAACATGAGAAGCCTGTAAGGGGCTGGGGACAAGGGACTACCTAGGAGATGAGGGTCCCAGGATGGACTCCCAAACAAAGAGGGATGGGAGTTGATAGATCAGTACCCTAGCTTCCTCACCCCTGGAGCAATTCTGGGGTGCATTCTATATGTTTCTTCAGGGAGACACCAGTGAGATCGAGCCTCAGTTGCCCACAGTGGTAACCTGCTCATTAACTCACTCTTATTGGCTATCTTCTCCTCTAACTCGCCACTCCACCCGCTCACTGTGCCTCCTGGGATCATCGTCTCCCAGATAAACTGCTTAAACAGTCAGCTAACTCAGACCCAGAGTTCTTAACTACTCTACCACTGACCCAACTTGCAAACTCTTCCCTGAGAAGCAGTCAGTCCCTAATATTCCTGTTTAACACTCCATCAACAAAGAATTAACTCAGGTACTGATGAGACAGCTCCATCAATTCAATGTTTACTCCAACTGAAGGTACCAACAACCAACAATGCTCCCTGAGCCCCCTTCACTTTGTTTTAAAGGATGGATGGAGGTAGTGACCATAGAGCCTACCAGACAAGAACAGAGGAAACAGGCCATGCCCTCAAGAAGATCCTCAGACAGAGATGAAAAGCTTGGAAACTCTCCAGGACAACCAATGACAAATGACTGCATGAAGGGTCCCCAATTTCCTCTACCCCTGTGTCGGCAGTCTATGAGCCTAGATTTACAGTCACTTGAGGGGTCCACTGATAGCCTTGGGGTCCTCCATCGCCTACAGGATGCTCCACCACCACACAGGACCCTCTACCACCCATAAAACTTACCACTACCTACAGGACCCTCTCCCACCTACAGGACCCTCCATCTACTCCATAGGACCAACTGTTACCCCACTGGACCATCCCCCATCCAGATACTCCCTAAGCATTCTCCCTGCCCCAACCTAAGGTGCCAGCCTGGCCTGAAAGTGCCTGGAGGCCAGTTTGACAGAGGTCAAACTTTTACTGATTCACTGGTGCTTGGCACTAAAACAGAAGCCTTATAGCCAGAACCAAAAGAGTACACACTATAGGATTCCATTTCTAACACATTCAAAACTAGGCAATAGTAATTTATACTGTTACAAGCAAAAAATAGCGCTGCCTCTTAGAAGGAAGGAGATAGTGATTTGGAGGGGGCATGAGAGAATAGGAGGTGACTTCTAGGGTCTAAGAAATATTCTGTTTCTTGGTCGGGGTGCTAGTTATATGGATATGTTCACTTTGCAAAAATGCCTAAATTTGTTGAGTTATGCACTTATGACTTGTGTACTTTTCTAGATGTATGTTACATTTAAATGAAAAATTACTTTCAGAAAAAGTTTTCAAAAGAAAAAAAAAAAAAAGAGAAACCTTTTAGTATGCCAGTCCACCCTCTGAGGTGGAGGGCACTCTCCTCAGGCCAGGGAGGCAGCTTATGGCCAGTCCTCTAAGAACAAGAAGCATAAGGGCTATAAAAGAAATCTGAATTAGAGGGTCTGGGAAGGGTCCTGTGTGGTGTTGAGGGGCTGGAAACCCCATCTGGAGGGAGGTGTGGACATTTTCCCATCCCCACCAAGATGCCAGTGGAAACCCTAAACTCTGAAAGGGATTCAGGGATTAGGAGGACTATATACAGTAAATTCTATGAGGCTGCAGGGAGAGGCAGTAGCAACCAGGTTGGGGTTGAATGGGTTAGGATGGGATAGGTTGGGATGAGATGGGATGGGATGGGATGGGATGGGAATTTGAAGATGGAACCCAGATTGTGAGGGACTCGAAGCTCATTAGAGTAAGTTAAGATTCCTCCCATCCAGAGTTGGAGACTTTTTAGCAGGAAAGAGGCATCCTTAGAATTCTCCTCAAGGTATCTCTCTGACAAATGTGTGGACCGTGGACCTCAAGGAGAAGGCTGGAGGCCAGATGTTTCTAAGACAAAACTAATGAGGCTATCACTAAACAGAAGGGCTGGGAGAGAGGCCCATGAGCACCCCCAGGATTCTCTGTGAAATGGGCTGGGGAGGACTCAGATTCACACATCATGAAGAGGGAAGCCCAGGGAGGCCTAAGGAGAGGAGGATGCTTGCGTGTCAGCCGCAAGCAGGAGGCTCAGTCATCTCCAAGTGAGCCAAGCATTTTCTTCTCTTTTTGAGATCTCAGGAAGAACATGATGCTATTTGGACACAGTATTTGGACACAGGCTGACCTCCCAAGAACAGAGCATAAAATACAACCAGTAGGACCGCAGGGACCATGTCCCTGTAGTCAACCCTGAGAGAGGGGGCTGAGCTATGAAATCCCACAGCACTGTGTCAGGCATCACAATTCTCAGAACAACTCCAGCCAGGCATTTGTCTTGAGCTGAGCCAGAACTTGTGTCATTAGCCCCATCTTACACAGGGTGGGGTGAGGGTGGGGCATTGGGGAGGGGGAACAGGCTAAGAGAGGGGCTTGCCTCTTCCATGGTGACACGGCTGGCAGATAGCACAGCCAGGAGGTGAACCCAGATGGGCTGGCTCCAAATGCCCCATCCTGTGATCGTTCCAGAAATACGACACTGCTCCATGTTCCCAACTTTGTTCTTTGGTAGGAAAGAAACAGGAACTCTTGGCCAGAAAAATAAAACCAAATGCTAAGCACATGCCCTTTCCTCACCTGTATGCGTGCGGACGTGCCTCTTCAAGTCAAAGGTGTCGTTGAAGCCCTTGCCGCAGAAGGTGCACAGATGCCTCTTAACCTGGTTGTGGCACTTGAGGTGCCGGTTGAGCATACGCTGTAGGCGGAAGCCCTTGCCACACAGGTCACAGCTGTGAACCGCCGAGTCACTGCATGTGCCTGTGGTAAACTGGGACAGAGAGGGAGGCTGTGAGGACCCCAGTGCAGGCAGACACATCCTGGGGGTTACTCCAGGATCCTACCTCCCCGTGTCTCTAGGATTGGCCTGGCTGGGGCTTCTGCCTCCTAAAATTTCCAAGCAGGTTTTGGCTTTGAGGAAGATGGAACAACTGGCAGCTTCTCCCAACATTCATTCTTCCCTTCTTTCTTGGAAGAAATCTCACACTGCATCTCCACCATGTGCTCCCCAAAGGGCTAGGACCTGGCACTCGGCCTTGAGGGAGACCCAGCTATGTATTCTTATCACCAAAACAGGTCATGGTCTCCTCTTTGTCCGGCAGTTCTCATTCTGGTCTTGCCTCCCTTGAAGAGATGTGAAAAAACTAAATATGACCCAAGTCTTGGCAATTGAATACTTTGAGATTCTCAAGGCCAAGTTTACACAGGATAAAGATAGTGAGGGGCTAATAAAATAGAACACAGACAATTGACCCTGGTAATTCTGACTAAAAACATGTAGAAAGCTAGAACTAGCTTTTGAAAATCCTGCAGCAGGTGCCAACTACAGCTCAAACCTGAACTCCTGTTTATGTTAATGCTTTTGGTAAATTCCTATTTTTAAAATGCTTAGTGTATAATATGGATGCCTTCTAATATAGTCGAGGATGAAAAAAAATCTCAAATCACTGGCATTATTCTGTTGGAAAAGAATAAAATCTTGAAGGGCAGAGGGAAGAACGATTAGTAACAATTTAAGTGAGTGCAGGGCTAATGGGTCACCTGACCAAGATAAGGAAAGCTTTATAACATGGGGAGGAAATGAGAATGGGGAAGGGGATGGAGACTGAGGGAACCCCATTTCCAGGGAAGCTTTCCTCTAGTTTTCTTGGAGCAAAAATAGAAGCTCTCCAAGTATGCCTCAGCAAAGGCAATTTTTCCATTTCTCCACCTTCATATACATCCCCATTTCACAGCATGGAAAACTGAGTCAGCACAAAGTGGCTCATTTAGGGAATTCCCCCGGTGTGTACCTTTCAATCCATGAAGCACTGCTTGCCACCTATATACATCTATGACCAATCCAGCCACCAGACAGTAAATTATATTCGAAGCCTTAAAAGAGCCTTGTTGAAACAAGATGTAATGTTAAGTAAATGGCAAATGATCATGGCTGATAAAGCCAGTTTTTGCCTGAGTAGTTCACTTCTCAGAAAGGAAGGAATGTTTGTAGGATAAATTCCTAAAGGTGAAATTTATCCCAGAGTGTATTTTACATGTACCTTGAAATGTGATCTGTGATAATGTGATCTGTAAAAGACTGAAACTATTTTATATGTCTGTCAATAGCAACTTGTTTAACAAAATAGAACTATTTAATCAAAGCAGCTGGAAAAAGGAAAAAGTATCAATTGGAAACAGCCACATGAGTGAGCACTCTTGGATGTCCAGCTCAGTCAAACCCCCAGAAAAGCCCAGCCCCAGCTGTCTTCTGATTGCAATAGCAAGAGAAGCCCCAGGGAAGATGCACCTCGCTAAGCCCAGTCATTCTACAGAACTAGAACACATAATAATAAATTATTTGAAGGTACTAAATTTGGGGTTATTTGTGAAGCAGCAAGAGATGAATTGGAACAGTGACAGATGTGTCACATCCTTTCCAGAACACCAGACCTGCCACATTTCTGAATATTCTCTTCCATGAGGGCTGCATAAGACAGAACACACATCTAATTCCTGGAATGATGTCCCATGAGCCAGAGGATCAGCAATCCCTCCTGGGTCACATGTCTGCTCACTAGGCCATCTTTACTATTTTGACACAGGTTCATACCTAACACTCTACCTCCTAAAAGTCAAAATACAGTTAACTGATTTTACTTGGTTACTCTACTCTGCAAGCAGTAGACCAAAACTAGTTGTACCTTATAGTCATCTTAGTTACAAAATGAGTGGAATGGGGAAACAGAAATGCTGAGGATCAAATAAAAACCTAGACCTGGCTAGTTTTGTGATGTCATGTAATATCCCTGGGTCACAAGTTCCCACATATGAAAATAATAAAATAGTATTAGATGAGCACTTCAGCAGAATAGGAAACTAAGAGCAGAGTGTTTTCCAACTTCTAAGTTCAAATCCTGCTCCACCATTTATAGACTGTGGAATGTAGGCAAGTTACTCAGCCTTTCTAAGCCTTAATTTCATCACCTGTAAAATGTAGGTGATAATGATATTTGCCTCTTCAGATTATTATGAATTAAATATGAAAAGCTACTTAAAAAGAACCTGGTGCTCGATAAGTTCTAACTAACTCCTATAGTTAGACCAGCTCCAAAACTCTGTGATCCTAAATAAAAGTTGGTCAAAATCCCTTGTTTATCCATTTGGCTTTTGCATTTTTCTCTCTGCTGAAGGAAAAAAGGAACTAACTTTCAGTGTGAGCCACAAGTCCCCAGTCCTTCATCCAAAACTCTGTAATCCAAAAGGTTCTGAAAACCAACATTCTCTCCCATCTCTCTTAGCAATAAAATCTGACCCAAGCAGACGTGCAGCTATGCACAGACTTTATCTGTTTTGTCTCAATATTCATGTTTTGATACGGAAATTATTAATGTGTTTAATTACAGAGTACTGTTACAGACCCGCCAGGAGTGACATTTATACACTGTGCTACCTTCTGAAAAATCTTAATAGTTTCACCCTTAATCCAAAATTAACACTTTGCAAAAGGCTTATTAATGAAGTGGAGAAGCTACCGTGGAGGGTGGGAGATGACATCAGTCTGGAGATTAATTCAGGGCAAGAAAAATGAAGAAAGAGCGAGCAATTCTCCAACCCTCATGGCTTGGCTCTATCTTACTTGCTGTCCTGTTTTCTGCAGGATCTCGGCTTTCATTTTCAAAAACACACAAAGTTCCCCTCTAGTTCTAAACAACAGGCCTCTGCAGCAGAAACAAACCAATCATTGTATCAGTGCGGCTGAAAACTTCAGGAGCGTCTGGGGAGGTAGGGACTTCAGCTGGCCCTCTGACCAACTTCAAAGCTAGCTAAGGTCACTTACCTGCCAAACTTCTAAAGTAAAAACTTAAAAATCCTTTATGATTTTGTTGATGTTTCCACCAGACCAGTTCATTAAATTAATGGTCCTGTTTCTTATGGGATGGTACTGTGAGTCCAGGCTACATTCTAACGGCCATTTGGACAAGATTTCCACGGACACATTTGCTATGCTTGAGTGCTCAAAACATGCTAGGCATATTTCCACAATTCCCTTGGGATAAAAATTCCCCTCCTGGTCCCATGTACCATTTCCTTAGGCTTCACAGCTCTGCTATATGGCAGAACGGAGAACCTTCTCAAATGCAGAGATGATGAAGAGAATATATCCTTATAATCCAGAAAAAGCTGAGGCTCAAAGCACTGTAACCTGCCCATGGCCACATGACTTGTAGGTGCCGACACTGAGATTTTGAATGTGGTTTGTCTGCAAAACTTGTGCCTACAGTTCCTCCTGACAGGCCCACAGGTCTGGGCGTGATGTGGGGAGAGGATATGTTTTTGTTTTTTTTTAAAGATTTTTTTTATTGGGGAATTGGGGAGATGGGAACAGTGCTGGGGAGTTGGGGGAATGGGAACAGACAAGTTGCTGTCATTTTGTTCTTCAGTCTAGTTGTGGAGGACGTTGCTTCACTGGCCCAAGTTGGCACCATCATTGTGCTCTCCCAGGCGAAGCAGATCAGTCGCCAGCTTCTGGACGGCTGCTCACGCTGACTGCTGGCTACACATGGTAGCCCATGGCAACCCACTGCAGCAGGGGCTGCAGCCTACACCATCGACGGCAACTGCCCAGCTCCAGGTTGAGCTGTTGTTCAGCATCTTAGCTGTAGAGGGCGCAGTGTCACTGGCCCTCATATGTGGGATCCAAACAAGGGCTCTTTGGCATCCCAAGCCAATTCTTAACCATAGCGCCACTCGGCCGGCCCGGGAGAGGATATGTTGTTTGTCTCATATCATGGTGAGAAATAGCTTCGGATTCCTTTACAGCAGACTGTCAATGCTAATAGCTAAAGTGTCAAAGATACCTCTCCCCCAATGGAATATTACACAACAATGGTAAAAGAATAAAGATCTTCAGGTTGGGCTTTGCCACTAACAACTATGAGGAATTCAACAAAACCTCTCTGGGCTTTACCTTTCTCCCCTTGAAAATGAGGAGATTGGACCAGATAAGCTTTAAAGATGCTTGAAGTGGATCCTATGGCTAGACATTCAATCTCTATTTCTACTCCTTCTGGTGAGCAATCCTGTACTGCAGAAGCCAGGAAGTTAGAAACTACATTTCCCAGACTCCCTTGCAGCTATGGTTTTTAAGATATTGCCCAGTATGGACTTGGGTTCTCCCAATTACATGCACTATCAGAAGATCTGAATTTGAACCTGGGTTAACTGAACAAAGGCAGGCTAACTGAACATGGCAATTGTTTTACACCCTACATTAGCAGAAGCATCACGATACAGGAACAGGCAGCCAGCCATAGAGGCAGTAGCTGCAGCTCCCTAGATGGCCTAGTTCTGCAGTGTGGCTCTCGGGAGTCATTCCTGAGAATTCAGCCTAGTCTTTCTTTAGTCCATTTAGTACCCTATAATTAACCATTCTCTGCTTAAGCTAGCTACATGGATTCTGTTGTCCATAACTAAACCCATGCAGTCCTTCCAACAATAAAAACCACTTCACCTATACTCAAATTAAAAGCTGATGCAGTTAACACTTATATTGTTCTCCTATTCCTTTCCCCCTTTAGATTAATTTAAACTTTTTTTGGCATCTGTTCCAAGCATTTTCTAAGATCTCCCTTTTCTTCTTGCTTCCTGTTTTCTCCCAAATGCTGTCACTTACATCTAGGGACTGTTGATCCCTTCTCTGCCTGTATTTCTGTTCTTTATTGACTTATGCCCTATGAGTCAGGCATTATTGCACTGGGTGCTGGAAATACAAGCCCAGTAGGGGATTGTTCTCTGCCTTCGGTGGGTCGAAAACCAACAAGAGTCTGGTCAGTTAAATGTGCAGCCAGGGAGGTGATCAGCAAGTTACAGTGGGAGCAGGAAAAGGGGCATCCAATTCTGTCTTGGGAGGCAGAATAGGCAAGGAGTTAGGGACAGAGCTTATGTTCCCTTCCAAATATCAAATGGATGGATTTTTATAAACTACTTAAATCCATGATTCACAACAATACTTAAAAATAAACCAACTGGCCATCACTAGAGAATTCTGGTGAACCAACTGATTATCTTGAAGACTGGTAAATAAAGGGAATCCTATTCTGCCTTTCTTAATAAATTGTCGCACTGAGAAACCAAATAACCGATGAGGGAGAAGTGTCTCTCTATAGAAGAATTTCAGCTAACAGATAAGGGACAGAATTAGAATATTACTGTTCTGTAGCCCCTAATAACCTAAAATATTTAGACCTTGAGCATCAATAGCTGCTAACATCACAAAGAGACAACTAAACATTATGTGCTCCTTAATGAAAATAGACACCCTTCACTGTGACAGATTTTAGCTAAAATAAAATAAACTTGATTAAGCATCTAGAGCAGTGTTGTCCAACAGAACTTTTTCGATGATAGAAATGTTCTGCTCTATACTGTCCAATACAGTAAGTAGCCACTAGTCACACATGGCTACTGAGCACTTGAAATATGGGTCATGAGACTGATAGTTTTTTAGTTTTACTTAACTTTACTTAATTTAAATTTAAATAGTCACATGTGACTGCCATTTTGGACAGTGCAGCTGCAGATCCAACTACCATTTACAGAAAACATAGGTGAAAAAGGAACATTAGACACCACGGTGAGATTACTGGAAACGCTACAAAATGAATTAGCCATCTCTTCAACAATTAAAAAGAGAAGGAGGGGAAATACATAAATTAAAAGAGACTTGAAAGACATATCAATCAATTAATTACAATGTGTGGACATTATATAGACCTGATTCAGCAAACTAAAAAAAAAAAAGTATGAATTTATGAGAAAATTAGCAATGTAACACCATTTTATGAATTAATCATGTATTTTGGTTTCATTAGAACACAGTCTAAAATATTTATAATGTCTGAGAGTTGCCTCAAAATCATGTCGGGGAATGAATGGGTGATGGATGGGTGGAACTGGCCATGGATTCATATTATAGTTGCTGGGGCCAGGTGACAGGGACTCTGCCTTTGAAAATCTCCATAATAAAAAAATGATGGAAAAAGAAAAAGACTATTCCACGTGTGCACATCTGTCACTTCTGGAAGACTCGGGGCTACAGAGCCAGGTAAAAGGCCAAGAATACTTTTGAAGGAATTCTAAACTCAATTCCTTTGAAGAATCCTTGGGAGAGGTTAAAGGAAGAGAGAAAAGAATGGGATAGGGTAAGAAGACAAATTCACTTGCTAGTCTATACTTGCACCTGGGTCCCACCAGCCACTCTGAGTCAGGAATGAATATCAGTCAACTAACTGATTTACTTCAGAGTTAACTTTGTTTCTGATAAGCCAGGGAAGGACAGTGGTGACAGGAGGGGGGATTTCCAGGAGGAAGGGGGTCTCTACCTTACAGCTGCAGACATGCAAATGTTTTCAGCACAAAAAGGACTCAAAGCAACCTGAACCTCTGGCACGAACATTTCCCCAGAGGTACATTATTTCCCCACCCCCACCCCCATCTGTTTTGTAAATTACAGAATCCTTTCGTAACCTGCCCTAAGGCGCACAGTCAAAAGACAGCTAGGCTGAGAAAGAACACTTTTCCTAGCTGGCACCTACGGCTCCTCTCCAGATCCAATCAGGTTGGCAAATCCCTTGTCCCTATTGTAGGCAACATAATATTGGACATCAACAAAACTTGCTATAAGTCACTGTCAGCTAACTTCCTATGGCAATTAACATAGGCACAAAAGTACTTAACATTTTGTACCCATTCTATCTCATTTAATCTACAGTCTACGCAACACTTTTGAGAGGTTGATTTTATTATTTCTCCATTTTACACATCAGAGAACTGAGGCTCAGAACAGATTATATATACCCAACCACAGCTGGTAAATTGGACCCAGCTGAGGTTTTCCTTCTCAAAAACCTTCCAGAGCCCCTCCCCCACCCTCAAGGGAGAATCCCCATTTCTTGGCTTGGCCTCTTTACCATCTTACCCTGACCCCAGCAGTTTTCCATCTCCATCCACCATAGCTCTGAGTCCTTTCCTTACTCAAGTTTTCGGCTGAGCCCACATCACCCTAAAGCCTTGTTCTCTCCTTCTCCATAGACCTCAAATCCACACCAAGAAAACTTTCCCTGCTCAAAATTTATCACATCTTTGCTTGTGCTTCTAGTTTAATATTCACTTTCCTGTAGTAGAGTTAACAATTAATATTTGAGTCTCCCAACCAACCCAAATAATTCTAGCTAGAATTATCGGGCACCTATCATGTTCCTCTTAGCTCATCTATCCTCACAATTCTATAAGTACCATCATTATCCCCATTTTAAAGACAAGAAAACTAAGGTCCAGAAGGATAACGATTTGCCCAAGGTCACAGAGCTAAGAAGTGCAAAGCTAGAGGCTTAACTGTTACTGTCAGATTCTGGAACACTAAGGTGGGAGCATTTTTAATTCCTGGCTGCCTGGTACACAGCAGGCACTTCATACTGTTAGATAGCATGTTGCCCCTCTCTGCAGTTCGTGGGCTCACACTTGCCCTTCCTCTGGTCTTAAGAGCCAACTGCCAAGTGTCTTCAAGTCATTGAAACTAAGTCATTGAAACAATGCATCACGTATGAGCCTCATCCTTGAATGGCTTTCCATTTCTGGTTAGGAAACTAATTCTTAAAGAGTTCAGTGTGCTTTGCATAGAACTCTAGAGTTACACAATGTGCTAAATCATGGGCAATTTGGCCAGTCATTTGAAAATGGCCAACATCACGATTGATAATTCTGGAGGCTTGGAGCACCTTATCACCAAAATGTCTCCTTACTTGTGGGTGGAAGCTGAAAAGGAGAAGAAACCAGACTGGAGTCCTCAGTAAACAAACAAACAAATCAGCCTCCAGAAACTTTGTTAAAGGTTGAATACCCCACCCCCCACCCCCTGAGGCAGCACATGGGTAGCCATCATGAAAATAAAATTGGTACATTCATTCCTTTAAGTCAGGACTCCAATAGCATTGTTTGCCTGGGCAGCAAAGAGAGATCTCCTAAAATGTTGGTTCAAGGACTGGATATTTTTTGTCTGCCACTTTGTCTCAAGAGTAATCTGGGCAATTGAGGGGCAAATTGTCTACAATCCATCCCAAAACAACGTTTCAATTGTCTTTCCAGCCTAGTGATAAATATGCAAGTGGGGCATTGTAGAATTTCCTGAAGGGCAGAGCTACCAGCCTCAGGCAAACTGAGCCCTCCCACTTAACCCCATCTGGCCCAGAAAAACCTTAGGCTAGCTGACTTTGAACCTTAGCAGAAACCTTAACACTAAACAGCAGGCCCTAGTCTGCAGCATCCTTTAAAGATGTTTTTCCAAAGGATTCCAGCTCAGGCCTCTAGCCTCAATTCATAACCAAATGCATCCCAGCCCATCCCCGGCCAAACCCCAGGAGCCAGGAACCGGGAATATGCATAGGGGAGAGGTGGGCTCTCCCAGGAAAAGTAACGGAAGCTTTCCCAATCCACAGCAAACGCTAGGGTTCCTCCGCCCTATTTTCCCCACCCCCTCCTGGGCAATGGGACTGTGGGACCGCCCAAGAATTATCACCTACACCGAGGGCCTGGAACCCGCAAAGGGTCACATCCTGGCCCATCCGGCTAGGCGCTAGGTTCATGTGATTCCTAAAACACCACTCCCTGGCTCCAGCGGGCTGTGAGTCCATGGAATGGGATTCCTTAATCTTGGGGGTATTGTATACCTTTGAGCAGGCAATCATGTAAGCGCAGATGGGCGTCCCGATAAGATGTCGCCTACAATTCTAGAAGACTGGGGTGGGGGTGGGGAGCTGAAACGCGATGATAGAGGGGAACAAACACTCCAACCCACTGAGGGGCGGGGCACTGAGGCAATTTGCAGTTAAACTCATTTATCCATCATTTTAATTCAGGAAAATTTGAGAGACAAGACAAATTTAAAGTGCCCAGCACAGACTTCATGTCTAACGGGAACTCCATAATTGGCACTGGGAACAGCTGTTATTGCGAGAAGCCCACTGTGTGCCAAGCTGCCGCCAATGTCTCCAAAAAGCAAGGCAGGGTGTGAAATTCAGAATTCACATACGCTAAGAACTGCGCCCCAGAGATGAAGTTCCGGAGCCTGGGTCCCTCTTTCCTGACCACTTGGAACCCCGACGGCCTGGTTACTCTTTGATCATTGCGCAGAGAACCGGCTGCTGGAAGGAGCAAGCTGCGCCGGAGTCTTTTAGGCCGTTCCAGACGCTGCCCCGTGGACTGTGCCCGCTGGGGACGCCGGCCCCCGGGGCGCAGCGGCGCAGGCGGCTAGCTTCCCAGCCCGCGGAAGGACGCGCGGAGGCGCCCTGGCGGCGGCCCAGGGGCAGGTGCAGGAACCAAGCGGCGGGCGCGCTGGGTGCATTGGTGCCCGGGTGCGCGGGCGGGCACGGCAGGGAGGGGCGCTGGCCCTGGGAGCCCGACGCCAGGGCGTGGTGCAGGGGGCGGCGGGGGCAGAGTCGGCACTGTACCTTGATTTTCGATCTGGCGACCGGGCGCTGCTTCGCCGCCAGGTGTCCACCAGGGCCCTCGGCGTCTCCAAGCTCAGGGGTTTCGCGCTCGGGGGCTCGCGGGGACGAATTGCTCTCGGCGCCTCCAGGATCCCCCGCGCTGCTGCTGCCGCCGCCGTTGCTGCTGCCACCGTCGCTGCGGCAGTCCTCGGGGGGATCGCGGAGCAAACGGCCCAGGCCCACTGCGGAGGGAGGGGGCCGTGCAGGGACACACAGACACGCGGCGTCAGGCCTGGGTGCCCGCGGCAGTTTGACCTGCGGGCGGTGCCGCCGCCGCCCCGCCCCTGGGCATCTCGCCAAGTGGGCAACGCCGAGGGGGTGGAAGAGCAAGTCCCTGGTTCGGCCTTCCGAGCGAGCTCTGGGTTGTGGGGACCGCTCCTCGGTCCCCGCGCCCACGAGAACTGGGGGACCCAGCGCGCCAGGTTTCCTCTCCTTGGGATGGTGGTGGAGGGGTCTGTCCTCTACCCATCCAGCCCCAGAGGGGTTGACCGATCCCTGTGCAACCCCACGAGGGCATGGGACACGGGGTAGTTCCTACTGGCCTTCAACCCCTCCTCCTGGGCCACCTTGGCCCGCACTGCAGCCAACGGTCCCGCCGCCGGGCAATTAGAGGCGCCCACTAGGGGGAAGGGGGAGCACGATGTCCTGGGTCTCCCAGCCTCTCACTCTCGGTCCTCCCGTGCCTCAGAGACCTCCTCCTAACCCCCTGGAAGAGGGGGCATGGGGTGGGGAGTCCAGCCCCAGCGGATTAGCAGAGGGGACCTGGTCATCCCTGCCCCCACCCCGGGAGCCCCGATCCCAGGCCCGGCCCCGCGCCGCGCTCACCTGGGATGTAGGTGTCTGCTCTTTCCTCGTCCGGGAGCTCATCCCAGCTGCGGACCGAGACCCCCGGGCTCCTCCTCTTTACCAGGAAGACTTTGGGCATGGTAGGGCCCCCTCCCTGGACTGCGGCCCCTCTTCCCGGCTACTCCCCGCTAGAGGCGGCGGCGATGGCTGGGTCCCCGGCTCCTCTGGGTCCCCGGCTCTGGCGGCCAGAGCCCACCTTCCCGCCTAGCCGGCCCTCTCCCTCAGACCCCCACCACAGCGTGGCCCCGGCCTCTCCCCCGCAGTCCCGACGACTCCTAGCCTCCCAGCTCCGCGACACCTATGCCTTAAATCGCGGGTGAGACCACGCCGAGGAAAAAGTTTCATAAGGTGGAATAGAAAAGGCACCAGGAAACTTGGGAGTGAGCATGCGCCCTGCAACATAACGGTGTCAACAAGCTCGCTACCTGTCCGACCGGTTCCGGCGGCCGGGGCTGCCTGTTCCAGCCCTTCCTTAGGCATGAATGTTTGCAAAAGAATTTAACGTCTGATTCTTCCCCCTCTCCTCTTTAAAAGGAAGAACGACTTTCAATGAACCCCCAACCCCATTCCCCATCGCAGGCACCTCGTGGCGAACTCTGAGGTAAACCTCCGGTCCGCTTCCCAGAGCATCCCTCCTGACGGGGCTTCCCGAGAGTTACCTCTCCTCCCCACCCCCACCCTCACCCCACCCCCAATTTGTCTCCGACTAGCAAACCAGAAAATGGCTCAGTTCCTCTGGACCTTGTGGATCATACCCAGGGCTTGCTGAAATCTTGGCGGGCGGAAGGGGGAGGCTGTGGGGGGGGAGATTCCCAGAGCTCTGGTAGAGGGGAATTGGGAGTTTAAACTGCCATCATCCTCAACAGTCCCTCCAAATAAACACAGTAATATTAAATTTGAAAATTCAGCATCTTTAAACACATTGTTATTTTGTGCTATACATTGTTAAGAAAAGCATGTCGGCTGGTTCCGCTAAAGCAGCTTCAGTCCCAAGGCCTTGCACCCCAAGCGCACCTTCACCCCAAATTAACACACAATGGAAACAAAAGCCAAGTGCATGTTATGCAAATGCCGCTTCGAAACGTATTTCTTATCCTCCCCCACTCCCATTATTCCCATTATTGCCTCTCGTAACCGCCCATTCCCCAAATTCTGAGGCTAGGAAATACCTTTCCCGGAAGCCAGTCAAGTGAAGCTGAGCTACATCCCCTAAATGCCCCTACTGGGGAGGTGCCTGGAGAGGTTTGTATTTATTTTGGGTTTAAGTTTTTCCTATCTACCTTTATACCTGGAGGGGGTTGGGAGAGAAGGAAGGAGAGTTGGTAAGAGAAAGATACCAAGTTTCTCTAAGAGCAGCTGTGCCCGCGTGAGGGGGCGCGCTGTCCCCCCCCCCACACACACACACACACGGCCCCGGCTCCGGTGCTCCCTGGGACGCACCGCACTGCTTCCACCGCTGCGGTAGGCGCCCCCCTCCAGAGGGTGTTCAGACTTGTGCCAACCCCAGGGACTGCGGGGGCGCGTCCCTGGCTTCCGCAGCTCGCCCACCCGCCAGACTCACCTGTCTGTAACCTGAGTCGCTGTGCGCTCAGCCCACAGGCCTGGGGAATCAACACAGCGGTTTTCCCCGTCCTCTTCCGCCCTGGAACGGCCCTTGGGGACACAGCAGCCTAGTAACGGATTTCTCGGCCCGACTGGCCTGCTCCCTGCGCGCGGAGAGGGGGTGCAGCTCTTTAGAGACTGCGAAAGGAATAGTCGTGGGATTGTCTCTGGGTCTGCCCTCAAGGGGTAGCCCTCTCTGGGCTCATCCCAGTCTGGACTCCAGATTTTCTCAACCAACTTGATAATGAAAAAAGACTTTGATCTGGGTAGCCGGGGCGGGTGCGGGCGTGGGGGACTTGGGAGCCGGGTAGAGAAGGAAGACATTTGTACAACAGTATAAGGAAACGAGGCTTCCTTCTTTCTAGTCTATGAGGTTGATGGCGCAGCTTCTAGGAGACTCTGCAAATGTATTTTTATCTGCCAACAAACGAGATTTGCTACATAGGAGATTGGTTGAATGAAAGTAAAAATAAAGCAAAGCTATAAATCAGAATTAGCCCTCATCTCATAAAAATCTTTTAAAACTTCACTTTTTTCAAAATTCTTTATTTTACAAAAGAGGCAGTCAATCCCATTAACAGAGCTTTTTTTCTTTTACTGGATTTCAAAGCAATGAGTGCCTGGATCACTTTATTCAGTATCTGAAAGGATTACAGAATAATGGGATATAAGTCTAGAAACCTCAACAGAAATGCAACGTTTAGGGGATTGGAGATGAAAAATAACATGGATAACCACTTTTTTTTAAAAAGATTTTATTGGGGAATTGGGGGAGGGGAACAGTGTTGGGGAATTCAGGGAGGGAACAGACAAGTTGCTGTCCTTTTGTTCTTCAGTCTAGTTGTAGAGGATGTTGCTTCACTGGCCCATGTTGATATTATTGTGCTTTTCCCAGATGAGGCAGTCGCTCACCTGCCGTTGGACAGCCACTCTTCGCGGCTTACGGCAGCTCATGAAAGCGCATGCCCACTGCCGGCCAGCCCCACTGCAGCCTACTCTGTCTCCCGAGACTCACAGGCAGCCCAGCTCCAGGTTGAGCTGTTGTTCACCATCTTAGCTGTAGAGGGCGCAGCATCACTGGAACTCATGTGGGATCCGAACCGGGGCCCTGCTGCTCAGAGCTGGCATCCCAAGCCAGCTCTTAACCAACGCACCACTCGGCCGGCCCTGGATAACCACTTTTATTCAAAGATTGTTGGATGCACACCTACTATATATGATGGATGTTTCTTTGGGTGAAAAAAATTCTAATGTGTTATATTTCTCTTTTTCTTGATCAGACTTAAGAGGGGTTTATCAATATTATTAACATTTTCAAATAACCAGTTTTGCCTTTGTTGACTTTCTCTATGGTAAAGTCAGTTTTCTAAGTATTACGAGAGGAGTTCATAGAGAAACTCGTAAAAGCAGGATAAGAAATGAAACCAATTCTTTAAAAATCTCAAAGCTTGAAGCTGGAAGAGACAGAAGACATGAGATGGTCCACACACTGCCCGCTATTGGGGGGGATGAAGTGGCACTGCATAGTATCTTTAGTAGATGTGTATCCAGTTCTGCTTGACTATTCCAGTGCTGGGGAGCTCACTGTTTTAAAAAGCAGTTTATTCTCTGGTTAGACAACAATGATGTTAGAAAGCTTGTCCTTCTGCGTTATAGAAATCTGTTCCCCTGCATTTCTATCTCTCCTCCCCATTCTGCCCTCAGGGACTGCTGAGACTATGCATGGGCCCCCTCTCCTTGGTAGCTCTTTAAAGCAGCCATCAGTATTCTCACTTAAGACTTGTTTTCTCCAGTAATGTATAGTCAGATTGAAAATAGACAGGTACAAACCTGCTCAGTGGCATCCCTAGAGCATACAGTTATAAGGGGATATTCCTAAAAATTTTTTACAAACTTTTTATTGAAATATAACATAGTGTTGGGGAAAAAATGCACAAAACATTAGTACACAGCTAAATAAATTTCCATAAGCTGAATTTACCTATGGAGACAGCACCCCAGAACAAGACAAAGATGCCTGCTCCCACCACTCCATTAGATTGGCTGCTTTGCAGGTATGATAAGACAAAAAAGAAGAAATAAGTATATAAGGATTATAAAGAAAAACACAAATCGCTCATTATTAGTAGTCAGCATGATTTTCTATGTGGAAAACTCAACAGAATCTACAGATAAATTATTAGAATTAATAAGAGAGTTTAGCAAGCTTGTTGCATAGAAAACCTGTGTGTGTGAGGGGGGTTATGTGTCAATTGCATTTCTACATGTCAGTAACAGTAAGAGAAATTTAAAGTCTAATGGAAAAAATTGACCTACAATTGCAGCCAAAATACAAAGTGCCTTGAAATAAATTTTTAAAAATTTGTGCAAGCTTTTTGTGGATTAGGTTAGAAGACTTTTTATTGGAAAACATTTAAGACACTAATCAAAGGAAAAATTTACCATACTAATAGAATAGAAGAATGACTAAAAAAAGAAGTAAAAAATCCCCAAATTCATCTGTAGATGAGTTTTATTGAGATTACCTTTGTTAATGTGTGTGTCTGTGGGCCATTCATTTTCACTGTATGGGTTTATTACCGTATATTAATCCAATCAGTTATTGATAGGCATTTGGATGTGTTCAGGTTTTAATTTCTTTTTAGTATGATGAATGATGCTACTATGAATATTCTTCTCTCTGACTCTTAGTGCAAAAGTGCAAGACGTTTTCTAGATTACAAACTTTGAAGTGTAATTTCTAGCTCATTTTATATGTGTATATCCAATACAACTCTTAAAAATACTTGAAAATAAGTATTTTTGTGGGACCTGACAAACTTGTTCTAAAGTTTATATGAAAGAATAACCAAACATTCCTGAGGACGAAAAAGGCATGGAGACTCTGTCCATCAGATATCAATACTAATTAAAATAGTGTGCCATTAATGCACACCTAGACCACCAGTACAGAACAGAAAGCACAGAAACAGACCACACATGTGTGGACATTTGATTTATGAGAGGGCACTACAGAGCAGTGGAGAAAGATGTGCTACTCAGTAAGTGAAACTGGAATGCTTGGTTATCCATTTGGGGAAAAAAAGAAATTGAATAATGCATACACACATCAATTTCTGGTGGATTAAACATTTAAGTGTGCGGATGGATAGATAGATAGATAGATAGATAGATAGATAGATAGATAGATAGATAGATAGATAGATAGATAGATAGATAATGTAGAAGGATGTCTTTATGACAATAGGATAGAGAATAATTTCTTAAAATGCAAAAAACAAACCATAAAAAAATTTGGTGAGTCTGACGGCAGAAAACTTAAGAATGACTATCAAAAGACACAATAAGGAGAATGATAAGCTAAAAAACAAACAGAGGACTTTTTGCAACACATTCATCTTACAAATGATAAAAACACAGACTATATAAATAACTCTTATGAGTGAATAAGAAAGAGACAAACTTATAGAAAAATGGCAAAAGACATGAATAGACATTTCCCAGAACAGAAAACATGAATGCCTCATCAACATATAAAAAGATGTCCAATCTCATTAGTAAAAAGGAAAATGATAATTAAAATGACAATGAAATACTATTTCATGTTTACCAGACTGGAAAAAATTTTAAATTCATCAATACTAAGTGTTGATGAGAATATGGAGCAATGAGACATATTGCTAGTGGGCATGTTCACATATTGCTAGTAGGCATGTAGATTGAGTCAAGCATTTTGGAAAGGAATTTGACTTTATCTAGTAAAATTGGACATACACATATTAAATGTGCTGGAAATTCCACTCCAAAGTTTGTAATCTAAAGAATGTCTTGCACTTTTGCACCAAGAGTCACGGACAAGAATATTCATAGTAGCATCATTCACCATACTAAAAAAAAACCTAAAGCCTGAACACAATCCAAATCCCCATCAATAACTGATAGGATTAATATATGGTAATAAATCCATACAGTGAAAATGAATGGCCCACAGACACACACATTAACAAAGGTAATCTCAAAAACATAT